CACTGGCGGCGCCCTCGCAACACTTGGCCCGACTGCAAGGTCCAACTCATCTCCTCTGGCCCAGCCATGAGGCGCGCCCAAAGCTTGACGACCGAAGCCACCCCGTCGACACCCTCCCAGGAGATCTTGTCCCTGATGGTGGCGGCGCCGTTCACGAAGGACGCCGTGAAGTCGTCGATGGGGCGCACCTTGTCGCCCTGGACCACGCCGAAGCGGCGGCTCGGGACCCACCGGGGGCCCAGGATCGCATCCAGTTGGCTGGGGGAGAACGGCCCGCTGGCGAGGCCCCGCTGCACCTCGGCGCGGGTCTTTTTCAGCACCTCCGCGTCGATCCAGCTGTCGGCAGTGCGGCGCTGGCTCGCGGCCGACGCCTCGAGGGAGGCCCGGACCGCCGGCGCCTGCTCCCAGAGCCACTTCTTTGGCCGACCCCCCTCGACCTTGTCCGGGGGCTTGGGGGGAAACGCCCCGCAGCAGCCGAAGTCCACGACAAGCCTGAAGCCGGTCGCCATGTCCTTCGCGACGCCCGCGTCGACGTGGCCTACGGACAGGAGCATCTTCTTGAAGACCAACACATTCTTGTCGCCCAACACGCCCTTCACCCTGGGGTGCATCTCCCCGTGCAGGCGGCGCTCGGCATCACGAAGAGATACTGTTTGATTATTTCAGTGCTCCTTCGTCGATTCGAGCTTCGCCTTGATGTCAACCAGCGGCGTGGTCAGCAGGTCGAAGACGGCCGTGGCCACGTTGTCGTCTACGGCGGGGGGCGCGTCGAACGGGTGCTTTGCGAGCAGGGCAAGGTCCAAGAACTCCTGGGGCGTCCAGGGGGCGCCAAAGTTCAGCCCGCCACACCCCCCCGTCTCGGGCCCCGCTGAACGGAAGGGAATGGACCCAACAGGCACGACGGCGCCATCGTGGAGCTGCACTGCATTGGCGATGGGCACGCGTATTTTCACATCGTCCTCGGTGAACCTGCTGGCAGGGATGACCGTCTTGAACTCTGGGACAAGATTGTGGCCGAGTTTGGACCTCTGGCGGCCCACAGCCACCCAGGGTGGACGAATAGGCAGACTGTGAGCGGCCGTGTCCGGGCTTGGGATCACGCGCTGCTCGTGGTCCATGGACTCCTCCTTGGCTAGCAGCGCCTCCTTGTACGCGTCAGCAAGGTGACTCGAGTCCTCGTCGAACGCGTTTGCGACGACGCTGCGCATGGTCTCGGGGTACTCGCACTCCGCGACCGACGCCGTGCCCCAGCGGCTGCGAAAGCATGCGCCCCAGGAGCTGTGGGCGTGACTTTTGTCGCAGGTCAGACACATGGCGTCGGCCAGCCATCTTGAGCTGGTGAGGAGCTTGGTGCTCTTGTCACGCGTCCCGCCGTACATGCATTGCTGGAAGCTCACGTCGTGGACGCCCGGCAGCGCCGCCAGTCTCCCCAGAGCTGGGTGTTTCCAGATCCAGCTGCGGGCGGGGCTCTCGACGGCCCACAATTTGCCGTCCCAGTGCAGCGTCGTGGTGGACTCGGCCGTCACCTCCGCAAGCTGGCTGTCGTTCGTGACCTTGGCGGCCTCCACTGCGGACAGACCAGGGGTTCCAAGCGGATTGCAGTCGTCGCGGAGAGGTCGCGGGGCAGGGCCGCTCTCCGTCCGTAGCTGCGCAGGGATAGGGTTTTCCCTGGCTCGGCAGAAAGTCTCGCCCGGCGGCGCAAACCAGGCAGCCTCGACGTGCGGATCGCCGAGGATGTGGCGGGGCCTCTCGCGACCAGCGCGGGTCGTAAGATCCAGCTTGATAATGGGCGCTGCCGGGCGGTGCCGGTTGCCTGCCCAATCAATGGCAAGAGTCTTGTACCCCTTCTGCGCCATCTCATTCGAGAATTTGGCGCTGCCCGCGAACACCTCCGCGAATCGGAACCCGCTCTTGATCCGATCTCTGTCCGCGACAGACGCGGGACTGCCTGTTGTGCCAGAAACAGCGGCGCCTCCACGGCACTCAACGCCGCCGACGCTGTCAGCCCAGGCTGAATATGCATCAATCAACACGTCGGCATGACAACTGCACGAGGTCGCACACTGGCACGCCAAACGCTTGCCCCCGAGTTCCGGCAGGCGCTTCATCATCTCGTCGTCCGTGTACAGGTACTGTGAAAATTGGTCGATGGCCGCCTCGCGCGGCATCTCCTTGGAGATCTTGAACGGATTGGCCCAGAAGGAGCGATTGGCCGACAATCGGCTGCAGCCCCGGCCGACGTAGAGGTCGCCCGGCCCAAGAGCCGCAACTTCACTCGCGCATCCCCGGGTGGGCAACGGGGGTGCGCACGGCCCAGCGCCCTCTGGGGGCGCCGGAGTGCCCGCCAGGGGCCCTCACATGGAACAGTCCGAGATCGGGTGCTCGCCGTGGCACCCCTTCTTGCAGCAGACGTGCACGCCGCGGGGGCACCTCCCGTTGCGCACCTGCTCTCGGCAGCGCCCGCGGTTGTACCCGTAGCAGATGGGTGCCCGGCCGTCTGGGAGCATGGGGGCTCCGCCCTGGTCGAGGAGCTCCTTCGGCATGGCGGGCGTCCACTTTTTGTTCCTGTCCTTGCCCTTGCGGGGCTCCGCGGCCGGCGGCGGCGGCGGCTGGGAGGCGCCGCACTTCCCGCCCTTCCTGCGTTTCTGCGCGTTGTCGCCGCCCTGGTCGTGGCCGCGCCCTGTTCCGGCCCCGGCTGCCTCTGCCTTGCGCTTGCTGCCCGCGCCCGCCTTGGCAAGGGGCATGAGCAGCATGTTCACCTCCACGGAGTCAATGATCTTCTGGATGTAGCTGTCTGTCGGCAACTGGTCCCGGACGGTTGCCGGCCTGACTCCGCTGGCGCAGAGCCTCGACATCTTCTTCCACACTTCCTTGTCTGCCGTGCGGAGGGTGTCCAGCGTCGGCGGCTCGCACCTGTCGTCGGGGACCTCCCGCGTCAGCGCCGCGAGCAACTTGTTGCGCAGCAGCTCGTGGCCCTCGAAAGTCATGGGCCCGGCCACTTCCATGGCCAGACCCCTCCGCTGGAGCGCCCGCGACACCTTGAGGGCGGAGCTGACGTCGGCCATGATGGTGTCCTTGACGATTTTTTCGCGCACTGTGCTAGAAGCATCCGGAAGCCACTTCTTCCTCCCGGGCTGCGCCGTGAGCTCTTGGTCACGCTTGGACGCCTCCTCCCAAGGCACCCACTGCAAGGTGTTGTCCTCCACCGCCTGGGCGAAGCGATCCACGAGCACGTTCGACGGGTCAAGCTCGCCCTCCATCTTCAGGCCGGGGTCCAAGCGCTTCCGCAGCACCTCCTTTCTCGCCTCGCGCTCCGCCTGCGGGACCTTGCGCGGGGCGTCCTGGTCCGTGCGCTCCGTCCCATGCCGCAGCTCGGACACGGAGAGCGCGTGGCTCTCGAAGAAGAGCCTCCGCACGGCCGCTGTTGTCGGCGGCAGCTGGTCCTGGGGGCCGAGCTGGAAGAGCGGCCTGACGATGGCTGTGGCGAAGCGCTCGTCGTCAACAACGCCGCCAGGCCCGCTGGCCATTGCAAACGCGAAGTTGCCATGGGAGGCCCACCCGAGGTCGACGAAACGCTGGAAGGTGTCGCCCAGCGCGAGCTCGACGAGCCTCTGCTGAAACACGGCCTGGGAGTCCACGACGCCGTGCTGCATGGCGGACGCGACGGACAGAGGCATAGGCGGAAGTTGCGCGAGCAAGCCGGAAGGCTTGAGGCTGGTACGTTTGGACCTGAGCCCAAACGGCTACGGAGGAGGTGGAGGGAGCTGCCACCCTCCGGCGACATGGGCACTCCGCCCGACATGGAGCACTCCGCTCCCAAGCGGAAGGCGTCCACCTTCCATCGCCTAGGGCACTCCGCCCTCCGGCGACCATGGGCACTCCGCCCGACAAGGAGCACTCCGCTCCCAAGCGGAAGGCGTCCACCTTCCATCACCTAGGGCACTCCGCCCATCAGGGAGCACTCCGCATCCCGTGCAGGAAGTCTCTTGTCCTCCCATAACCCGGGCACTCCGCCCAGCCGGGGCACTCCGCCCCAAGGAGGCGAAATTTTGCAATAGCTTGGGCCTTTAAGGCACTCGGCCGTTTTGGCCGCTCTGCGGATGATCGGGACTTGCTGATATGGGAAGGGGTTCCTGGAAGACGTCCTCCTGCTCCCCTCCTGATATACATATATATGCTGGTACATATAAGCAAAAAAAAGTAAGGTGCGACAAGGAGCATGACAGCTTCGGAAGCTCGCACAGCAATACAGTCGGCGCATCCTCTCTGGCGCCGGCAACCTCTCGTCGCGAGCTTAAGAGACGGGGCACGGACTCAACCTCCTTATCCTCGCACTGGGCAACCTCTCGTCGCGAGCTGGACCCACAAGGCACACGGGCAACCTCTTTATCTGCGCGCCAGCCGCCCACATCTCGGCCGCAAAGAGCGGCCCGAAAACCTCCTTATCGGCCATGGCCTCTTGAGGCCCCGACCTCTTGAGGCCCCGTGGGTTTTCAAATATAGATGTATGTATACACCGTATTACTATCATGCTTCTCCTATTCCTCCTCCTCCTCCTCTTCCTCTTCTCCTTGCACATGCATTTTGCATTGGTGCCCTCTTACAGGCGCTGGATGGGCACTCCGCCCGCCAAGGCCTGGGCTCTCCGCCCACCATGGCTACGCCCAGGCTGGACGGGGACCTCCGCCCCCGCCCGCGGGTCTAAACTCGGGAACTCCTCCCTTCTGCGAGCCTCCGCTCGCTACGACCACTGCTCCACACCGGAGCAAATCAATCGCGCCGTTGGCGCGCTTCGCGGGCACTCCGCCCGACGGCGACCCCGGGCCCGAGGATGGGCTGGCATCCCCCAAAATGCCGCGCCGATCCGCCACCAGGCCGACCCTGAGCACTCCGCTCTGGGCGGCGAGGCCCTTAATCCACATCACTCCATGTCACGGCAGCGCGGCCGCCGCCACTCACGGCAGCGGAACGCAACTGCCATGCAGTCGTCGCGCGCTCTTTCACGCAGCCCTCGTCTCACGCGCCCGCGCGGGGCGCTCTGCTGCTCCGATGCACTGCTTGCACAGCGGCTGCACTGAGGCACCGCCCTGTTGCGACATCTCGCTAGCCGCCCTGCCGCACGCGAATCTACCGCCGGGCACAGGCTCGCTCAAAGGCAGGAGGTGGCGGACGTGGGACTTCGGGTGGAAGTACACGTCGTAGCCCGTCGGCACGACCATGCCCAGCCCGAGGGCTCCCTCCAGGTCGTTGCCCACAGTCTCTGCGGCCGCCAAAGCCTCGTGCTTTTCCGCCTCGTCGGATTCCCCCGTGCTCTCGCCGTCGCCGACCTCGACCTCGGAACCCGTGTCTGCGACATCGGCGGGGTCATCGTTAGCCCTTTCCTTGGGCGCACCCTGCCTCTCGTTCCATTCGGCCGATGGCGCGCTGGTCGCCTCGCCCGACGACGCCAGGGTCGCCGGGGGCCCGCCGTCGCGCCACCTCCCCGAGCGAGTCGCATCGGGGTCGAACTCCTCCGCCGCAATCTTCACGAGCACGCCCTTGAGCTCCCTCAGAGGCCCCGCCATGGCGTCGCGGGAGTACTCAATGACCGACTTGTCGCCCGGCTTTATATGCCCGCCCAGCATGCGCCGGACAGACAGGGGCACTCCGGCCTTGGCCATCCAAGACAACAGGGTGGCCTTGCACGAATGCGACGTGTAATGCTCGACCTCCGCTGGTTCCGCCCCAGCAAGAATGAGGCTTCTCCGGAGCATGGCCGTGATCTGCGGCGCCGACGCTGGCACGTCGTGGACGAGCACGCCGCCGACGGACACCGCTGGCATCAGGTACTGGCCCTCTCCGGCGCGCAGGCCAAGTTCCTCCCTCGCACGGAGCCACGCCTCCGCCCACGTCTCGAAGGTGTCGTCCGTGAGCCCCTCTGCGATCCCGACCACCGGAAGCCCGAGCCGGGCCCTCTTGAGCCCTCTGGTGGTCTTGGCGCGAGCCGCTCGCACCTCTATGAAGCCCTGGCTCACTGACAGGTCGACGTACGGTTCGTCCTCCACCTTGGCCAGGTCCCGCGCCCTGGAACGGCTGTGCACGAGGTAACACAAGAAGCCGGCCTCCAGGCTCGTCCGGGGCGGCGCTTCCTTGGTCAGGGACTCCAGCAATCGCAAATGTTTCACCTTCAAGGGGCGGGCGTTGACCGTGAGGCGCTTGCGTTCCCAACTCCGCGCCACGGCTCCTCGTATCCGGGCGCTCTGGGGCAAGCCGCCCTCTACCTCCACGCCCAGCGTGCCGTGCACGAGCAGGGCGGCTTCCAGGAATCCTTGCGCCCTCGTCGGTGGCGCGCCTGTGGCGCGAAGGTCCTCCACGTACTCGTACGCCTTGCTCTCCGAAAGGGGGAAGCCATGTGCAGCCGAGCCGAAGTTGTCGCGGGTCCAACGCATGTACAGCGACATTGAGCAGGCTCGGCGCGCGAGCGTGCTGGTCGCCTTCCCGGCGAATGTGTTCACCAGGAGCTCGTGGACGCGCAAGTCGTCAGCCGCGTCCGCCGCCTCCCGATTGAAGCGGCAGTGGTCGCCAGCGGTGCGCGCGACGAGGAGCAGCTGCTTCAACCGCAACTCGCGCTCTTCAGCCTCTCGCTGGGGCAAGGGAGGGGCCCGAAGGACGGCCTCCCTTCGGGCTCTTGTTGGCCCCGCTGTGGCTGCAGGTCCCTGGGTTTCGGCGTGCTCCTCCGCGTGGCCCTCCCAGACTGGCAGCAGCGTGCGGGGTGCAGCCAGAGGCTCGGGGCCAGCCGCTTCCCACGGCAGCTGCAACGCCGGCGTCGCCGCAGCACCGCGGAATTGCCACAGCGCATTCGCAGCGGCGCCTGGCTCAACCATGGGACCCTCCACCCCCCTTGCAAAAACTCCTGGAGCTGGGCGGCGCAGTGCTCCCCTGCCCCCCAGCCCTCGATCCGAACGGTTACGGACGAATTTGGTTGTGCACCTCTGTGACACCTCTTGCTGACCAAGCCTGGATGATACAAGTACCCGCACTGCGTATCCGAGTCCAGGGCAAACGCCTTCCCAAGGCGCGCGTCGAACACTGCTTGCGGCCCAAATCCCCAAACACTGCACCAACCTGAATGGCTGTCCGGCCGCGCGCGGTGGATACAAGTATCTCCAGAGGTGCATCCGAATCCGGGGCAAGCGCCTTCCCGAGGCGCTCATCGAAACTGTTTGTGGCCCAAATCCCTAAACAGCGCAGCACCCTCTCTCGACGGACGGGCAGGGCATGCGTGCACTTGCGCACGCATGTTCGCAGGATGCCATAAAACACAATATGCTTCGCATATGAAGTGCATACCGTCCGTGCACCTGGGCGCGCCGGAAACGTACACCTCCGAATCACCTTGCAGCTGCATGCCCTCGTTTATCGTAACAAGATCGGGACTTGCTAGAGGTGCCCCCAGGAGAAAGTGCCCCCAGGATCGAAGGCCCTCGGGGAGCAAGTCGAACCAAGAACCGGGATCGGACA